TTTGCCGTCTGCTGGATCCATGAGTCTCCGTGCCCCCTTTTAAAGTGATTTTCCTTGGCTGGGGTCTGGCGTCATGATGCCCTTTTCCTGGCTTCGATGTTGCCAGGCGCTCCGCGTGAGATGAGTTTGTTTTCTAGCGTTCTTGTTCCGTTGACTTTGCTTTTTCTCGTACATCATGCTGTCGACAAGAATGCCTTCGGAAAACCCTTTGCTGTTGTACCTTTTTTTGCTCGCCGTTTGGTGATGCTGCTTTTTGTCTTGGAGAACGTCCCATCGCTCGTATTGCCCGTCTGTTTCGGCAGCGTAGATGCCCCTTTCGGCAACGCTTTAGCATACATTAGCATTCGAGCTTTAGGAATTCCATTAAAGCATTCCGAAACGGATATTATCGGGGGGGTTTAATTCTTATGAACCTTTTCTCAGTTTATGTTGGCTTTACTGTCGGCAGTGATTGCTCTGCACGTTGGTCCTCGGTTTGATGGCCTTGGTCCTAATTGAGCGTGCTAACAGCCCTGAGCCCGAAACCTCGAGCCAATCACATACCCTGAACCCTAGATCCTAAAACCCTTAAGCCCTAAACCCTAAACCCCTAAACCTTAAACCCTAAACCCCTAAACCCCTAACCCAGGTATTGCCTACTAAGTCTCGGTGCTTTGGCGGTCAGCCGAAGACTCCAGCGATGGCTTTCGCGGCCAGGCAGTTTCCTGGCTACACAGTTATTCCGCTTTGGGTTTTTTAGGTTTTAGGGTTTAGGGGTTCAGGGGTTTATGGGGTTTAGGGTTTAGGGGTTTAGGGGCTTATGGGGTTTAGGGTTTAGGGGAATGGAGTCTGCATTTTACGCAAAGTCCTTCATCAGCATGGTGCATTCCAGCAACTGTAAGAGCACAGGAAATACCCTTCACTCTATGCTGCCACATTTGCTCCGCATCCCGAACCGGCACCTCTCTCCAAAAGAACGCAAGCTTTCAGCACCGTTCAAACTGCGCAGAAGAGGTGAACAAACGCATGGTCGAAACCTAGAAAACACCGCACCTGTAATCAGCAAATTCCCATCCCTTCAACTACGCCCAAACTCCTTAGGTCTGAAGTCCGGAAACTCGGACGGCATAAACCCATAGCGTTTAGAACCCAATGGTAGCTGATCTACCCTGACAAGACGCAGCAAAGCCACATATACCCTATAGATAGACCCTCAACCCACAACCCCCAGATCCTAAACACTCCCTACAGAAGCCTAAGCCGTAAAACCCGACAACCCCTCAAAGCCCCAAAGCCCCCGTAGACCTCCCAACTACCCTCTAATATACCCTAAATACGCACTACTAAGGCCCTTATGGGGCTCCAATTTTTCAGGGCACTTGGGTGGTCCTGGCTTACCCCGAGGTATGGGACCATGGCAAGCTTGAAGCCCGGTGCTGGTACCTTTACGCGGCTGCCGCCCGGCGGAGACATGTGGGACTTTCCGAAAATAGGGGGGTACCTTATTTTGGAGTCCTTATAATAGGAATCCTACTATTTAGGGTACTATATTAGGGTCCCCTATTTTCGGAAACCCCCATGTGGGCACTGAAGCCCAGAACTTCGGATATCGGATTTGGGGCAGAGGTTGGTTTGGGATTCGGGTGATGAACTGATGACTGTAGTTGTCGTCGACGTCGTAGTCGCACGAGCGGTAGCCGCACTGCTGTAGTTTGTCGTCGTAGTTTTTTGTAGTCGTAACTAGGAACAGTAGTACGAACAACATCATGTCAAGGCTTAGTTTCGTGTTTCGGCTTCAGCTTCGTGCTTGAAGTGTGCAGCCGATACAAAAGGACAGAGGCCTCTGATCTCGATGATTAAATTCTTCGCCATCTGATTTGGCATTGTTGTTGCTTGCGGATATTCCCCATAGTGGTAGCGACTGGGTGTAGGGTTTAGGGGCTTCGTAATTCTGACGATGATGACCCCATGCTTCCTATACACATTGACAAAGGCGTCACCGGCTGTTGCCGTCTCCATTCCTACCACGCAGATTCCCACGGTGACTCATTGCTTCGCGCTTGACTTATCCTCATAAGCATCCTCGTCAAAATTCGCAGCCGTAAGCGGCGACTTGTAGAAAACTTGTCAACAGAATCAGAGCCCTACACGAGAGCCATGGACAAGGCATCATGATTGTGGGAATGTCGACATTCAACAGTGCAGCCGTCAATGCTGTCGCTGTCTCGTCTAGCTCCCAAGCGACTGTGGTTGAAGTTGCAGTTCGATCAGAAGTGCTTGAAGTGAGTGGATCAGACCAAGGCGCTTTGCACGCCGAACCCCCGAAGCTCTTAGAAACCTAAACCATGTAAGTTGTTACTCCAAACCCAAATGCCCCAAGTGCAGCGGAGTCATCTAGGACGCACTTGGCCTCTTCCGCTGCCCTATGGGACTTCGATCGCAAGACGGAGCCCGGATGGGTTTCTGCAACGGATAGGGGTTTAGGGGTTTAGGGATTAGGCTTTTGGGGTTTAGGGGTTTAGGATTTCAAACAACTAAAGGACCTAAGATATAGACGCTGTAAATCACGGGATGCTCGTTAATTGCAAAGACCCCCCCCCCCCCCAAGCAAGCAAAGCACTCCTAGTTTTCAGCTCTAACCCTCAATGCTGCACTCAACTCTCATACCCTTCACTCTAAAAATGCTACGCATATGATCTGTAGGCACTTAATGAAAATAGGGGCACCAGGCTGGCTGATTACATGACTAGTGTGCCGGGAGGCCGAACGAGTGAATCGTAGCCTAAGCCACAGTACCCTTTACAAGAACCGCAGCCTGATGTCCAAGCACCTCAGTGATGTCAACCTGATGCCCTGAACTACGTGTCCGAATCTGAGAAGGATCGAGGCCAAGACACTGCCAAGTCTGAAGCGTCTGGCCCCCTTTCGGCGAAAGGATCCTATACAGCCCGGCCCCAGCTACTTTGATCCGCATATCAGCGAGGGCAGCAGCTGCCGCCGCCAGGACTGCGATGGTACATTCGCGGGTATCATTGGCGAGTTCCGGGTAAGGCCGGCACTTGAGTCACGCTCTGTTATGTTGGTGTAGAGTGTGTTTGAGTTGTTGCGGGCAATTTCGGACGGATCGGTGTACAAGTACTGTAGCAACCTTTGAAGTTGTTTTTGAGGCACGATCTCGCTGAAGGCGTAGGGTGTTATCCAGTGAGTGACAGGTCTTACGTGAGCTTTTTTGGTTCCCACAGCCAGAACCGGGCGTGTCAAAACAATTGAAATCATTAGGGCTTTCGGGCTTTAGGGTCTTAGGGTTTTAGGGTTCAGGGATGCAATTGTCATGTTGTTGGCACTTTGGCGACTGGGCGGCTGTGATTTTTGCCATTAATTTGACACGTGTTTGTCGTTTTGCTGTTATTTCGGGGGCGGTTTGCGAGGGAGGTTGGGTTCATTGCCGCAGGGACGAATGGAGGTTCGGAGTGGGCACCGGTTAGGTCCACTAGTCATTGGTGGGAGCCTGTACTTCCGGCAAAACTTTCCAGAGGTCCTCTTCAAGCTGTTTCGGGGCTTATGCGAGACGCAGCTTTCGAAACATGAACACCCCTAAACCCTAAACCCTAAAAGAGCCCTAAACCCTAAACCTTGTGGGCATCGATCCTTAGCCATGCGAGAGGGGAAAAAAACCCTAAACCTCAAACATGAACACTCCCTACAAGGCCAGAAGGCAAGCGAGCCCTCCAGAAGTGCACCGAGGACCAGCTGGGGACTCCGGCAGTAGGCTCCTTATTGCGGTATGCGGGAGTTTGTGAAAATAAGGGGTACCCGATTTTGGGAGTCCTTTATAATAAGGATCCTACTATTTAGGGTACTATATTAGGGTCCCCTATTTTCGGAAACCCCCATGTATGGTTCCCGAGCAGTGTTATAACAGCCATCCTTGTCGGTATTATTTTCTGAGGAACCTCCAAGAAGGCATCTAAATCCAAGAACCTTCGAGTGGATCGACTGTTGTCTTTTTGGAGCGTGCATTCTGCAACCCTAAACTTCAACCGGCGTCATGTAGAGCTTTAGCAGACTCTGGTGGTGTTGACCGGAACCGAGCACGTAGATGCATTCGCGTTGTGAGTAGGCGGAGTCCGAGTTGCAAGAGCGCAAACCAGCCTCATGTTTGTCATGAGCCCTATACGCAGGTTTAGGGTTTATATATATATATAGGGGCTCAGAACAGTCGTTGCCTGGATCTTCCTGGCACATCCCTAAAAACTAAATCCTTATGGTCACCCTGGACTTACCCATAGGCTCCTTAGTAGTTCCTTTTGGGGATTGCTTTATAGGAGCCTATATATAAGCCACAAAAAAGGAACTACTAAGGAGCCTTTGGGTAGATCCCTGAAACCCCAAACCCTAAACCCTCGTCGCTCCTCCTGGTGGTGTTGATGATCCACATCCTGACTGGAGTTGATGGGGTGCTCCTGTGGATTGGGGAGTTAGTTGGCTCTTTGCTTCTATGCCCTCTACAATTTCTGAGTGCCATATGTAGGTGTATGCCTAACTTCGGGCAGATCGTGGAACTCTGCAGAGCGAAAGGATCAGTGCACTTAAAAAAAAACCCTAAACCCCTAAACCTTAAACACAGTATAAACCACAAAAAGGAACCACTAAGGAGCCTTGGGCTAGACTCTCGACCCTGCTCAACAACAGGATGTGCAGCGAGTTAAGGCTTCTTTCTCGCTGGTGCAGAAGGCGCCAGAACTGCACTAGAAAGCTGTTTAGGGTTTAGGATTTAAGGTTTAGGGTTCAGGAACTTTTTGTCCAATACAGGCCCACTTGGCCGATGTTTGGGTGGTACATGCGTCACAGGATGTAGGTTCTTCTTGAACAGGTTCATCCTGCAGCCATAAAGACTCTGTCATGATTGGCACGTGCATGTCCGGGACACCGTCGGAGCATGTTCCTCACAGGAGATGAACTGCCTGATTGCTGGTAGTTAGGTCGTGCGCAGCGTTTCACCAGACGAGGTGAGTGGTCCCATGGTGGTCAAGGTCTGCCTCATCGTCCTTGGTGTGATGGGCATCGTTGTTGTGCTCGATGACTCCATTCAGGACCACTGACAACTGCCTTTGGGAACTTGAGAAGCTGCGTCCATATGCCACGGCCCACAGACGAGGGCCTAGTCTTGGAACTTTGCCAAGTCCCTTAAACATCCACTGTATATAGTTCGAGTTTAGGGTGTAGGCGTTAGGGTTTAGGGGTTTAGGGCTCCGGACAACAAACGGACCTAAGATATTTAGGGTGGGAACAAACCCTAAACCCTAAACCCCAACCCCTAAACCCGAAACTCCAAACCCTAAACCCCAAACCCTAAACTCTAAACCTTTGAAGAACTCGCCAGGATCATGGCGACTACCAGCACCTGGCTCACCTGGATCGACTAGTGGCCTCCCTTTCGGGACTCGGGTGCTCTGGCCTTTGATAGGTTTAGGGTTTAGGGGTTTTAGAGTTTTGGGTTCAGGGCTTTGGGTTTAGGTACAACAATCTGGAGAGAGTCAGGGGTAACGGAGTCTTCGAGTCGCAACCTCCCTCGAGGAGGTGTGAGACTGTGCAGGAGCCGTGACAGGCCAGGACTGATCTCCCCGTCTTCGACCATGAACCGGCTGCCAAACGCGAGGGACCGAAGCACCCTAACCCCGAAACCCTAAACCCTAAACCCCTAAACTAAACCCTAAACCGAAGCACGTATGCCCAGGCGCTCCGACGACCTTTGCGCTGCTGCCACCGGCTTTGCAGAGGTGCAGCAGATCAGCCGCGAGTTCTCGAGCCTGATATAGGGGGCCTTAAAGGTTAGAACAGGGGGTTTGGGGTTTAGGGTATGCTATACTACAATGATGATATGGACCCCTCAAAATAGGATTGATCATATAATTATTTATTCAGGCTCCCATGTTGTTTCAACCGGAACGTCAGGGTTGCGAGCTTGAGAGCAGACTGTGTGTGTGTGACCTAGGAGGACTCATGGTGACCCAGTTTCTGGGATCCATTATACCGGATTTGTAAGGATTCATTCGACAGAGCACCTCGTGACCATGGTCTGCACGCAGCCTCAGGAATGTGTTAGAGAGTCAATCAAGTTCCTGGCAGTTCTTGAAGCAAGCATCTTCGTATATCAAGCTGATGGATTCTGTGGGCCAGCCCTCCTAAGCCCTAAACCCCTAAACCCCTAAACCCCAAAAACCCCAACCCCCAAACCCCAAAAACCCTCAACCCCAAAAACCCTAAACCCCAAACCCCCCCTAAACTCCTAAACCCTAAGCCCCAAAGAATCCTAATCTCCAAACCCCCAAAAACCCTGAACCCTAAACCCCCCCATTCAGCAGCGAGTGCTTGCAAAGCATGAGCACCTGGCAAGGCCTCGCCCCATCGGCTGCTGATGGCCGGGATCGGCCCGCTGCGACCCGGTGGAAGGGGCTTCGGAGGAGGTTTCGGGTTTGGGGTTTAGGGTTTAGGCCCTATACACTGCAAGTCCGTGCTTAAAAAAGGGTGTAGGGTAGTCGAGAAACTCTTATAACTCGTCTCTCGGCATGTGAGTGTTCTTCTGAGCTGGCTGTTCAGCCAGCTCGAGTTCCCTCTGTCTGTCTGTCTCTCTCTCTCTCTCTCTCTCTCTCTCTCCCTCCGCTCCAAGCGCCATGGCCTCACCACGGCGCTTCTGCAATCTGTTCGTCTTGTAAGCCAACTGAAAAGCCGCTGCCGCTTGTCGCAGCATTCCAACTTGCGATCTCGTCCCAGCATGAGACCTTGGGCGTAAGAACCTTGGGGGCTGAGTAGGTAACCTTTAACCTTTTGGGGCTTATATAAGCCTATTATAATTCAAAAGGTTAACCCTTTTTTGGGCTAAGGTACTGGGCCCCTAAGGAACAGAAGCATCCTTCACAGACCCTGTGGCCTGCAATTCCTAGCGCGCCCGGTGACCTATGTCGCGTGACGCTTTTTCGGATATCCGTGAGGAGAGCACCAGGACTTGGCCAAGCTTTAGAAAGTCTAGGATTTAGGGTTTAGGGTCCCCGGGATAAGCTACTAATGGACTGTGAGAAAAAATCCCAAGGCACGGGTTTTCAGAAGCTTGGTGGCCCAGGCTTTGGACGCAGCATTCCTGCGAATGCTGTGCAGCCAATACCACAGCAGAATTCGACGGGACCTGGCTGCAAGCTTCCCCGGCATGATTGAAACCACGGTTTTTCGGGTTTAGGGTTGCTGCGCTCGGGTTAAAAGCTGTCATCGGGCCACCTCTTGTTCTTCAGGCACGCAACCTAAGCCGCCAACGCCATGCCCAGTGATCTTCAATCTAGCCATATCGAACATGCAATGGATGGCCACAAGGCCTCGCTAGATGACGTCGACGACGTGGTGGTCATCCTTGTCTGCCCGTGCACACGCAACAGATAAAGCTCTCTTAAAGGCTCCACGGAAACGCTAGGTCGGACACAACAACTACAACAAATACAACACGCCAAAACCTAAAGATACACATTCCAATGCAGCAACGACTAGGAGTATCCATGACGGAATAAATGAGTCCCGACCCTCGCTTTCGTCAACACTGCTCCATGCCTGCAAGGACCTTAACCTGGAATTCAGACTATAAATTCTAGACCCTAAACCCTAAAACCCTAGACCATAAAGCCAGCCGACTCGCCCTCTTGCAAGCTTGCCGACCCCGGACTGGGTCGTCCCGTGATGCTGGCGCTCACGGTCTGCACCCAACACCAACATCCGCCACCCTCTTGGAGCCCCAGCATGTCATGGCGCCTCTCTCTGCTTCTTCACTACTGCGACCGCGACCGGAAAGAGGAATAGTAGCAAGTGAAAGAGACAGAAGGCATCAAAGTATATGGACGACATAGACAAGTCATTCTGAAGGTATGCAAGCTTTCAGAAGCCTTTTGGCCCTCAGTCCTGCGAGACCTTGTCTTCCCTGCCCCTTTACGCAGTGTAATTACGGTAGAACCAGCCCCGAGGACCCGCTCGGACAGTAGCAATCAGGAGATAAATTTGGGAGTTTCCGAAAATAAGGGGTACCTTGCTTTGGGGTCCTGATAATAAGGATCCTACTATTTAAGGTACTTTATTAGGGTGCCCTATGTTTGGAAACCCCCTAATTGAAGGCCAGCTTCACATCTACACTATCACTGGCTGCAGCACGGGTCTGCACATCCTAATCTCTCTCTGCTCTGGAAGTCTCTACCCAAAGGCTCCTCAGAATTTCCTTTTTGTGGTTTATGTTTTTTGGATCCTATTAGATAATCCCAAAAAGGAACTGCTAAGGAGCCTATTTATGTTTAGGATCCTATAAGGTAATCCCCCAAAAGGAACTACTAGCGAGCCTATGGGTATGACACTTTTATGTTTAGGATCCTATAAGGTAATCCCAAAAAGGAACTACTGAGGAGCCTATGGGTGGTTTATGTTTAGGATCCTATAAGGTAATCCCAGAAAAGGAACTACTGAGGAGCCTATAGGTATGACCCTATCCCAAAAGGGAACTGCTAGGGAGCCTATGGGTATGACCTTTGCCATCCTCACCGAAGTGGCAGGCAGCACGTCGGGCCATGCGCAAGGCGCCTTTCCAGGCCCATGAGCTTCGCATGGCGCTCCGGCTTGCATGAAGGGTCATGGTTTAGGTTTACTGGCACATGGTTAAATACCAGGGTGCTTTGGGTTTCCTGCACTCCAACTGAGGTTTGCTATCCGAACGAAGATTGCTCAGGCGGGCCTTTTTGCATCGGAAAGTAGCTGGTGTCGCTTCAACGCCATTGACGTAGGGCGGGCGTTAGTCTGCCAGTCAGTGTGCCAGCGACCGGACCAGCACAGTTGCACAGCATTGAGCAGCTTTAGCAAGTGAGTTAGCAAGCGAGCCAGCGCGTGTGTAGGTACACCTATACTACATGTGTGTAGACAGGACGAGCGACAGGGTTTAGCTTACATAGTTGTAGGGGTACCGACCATCCTCGTGCTGTTTTGTCTATAGGCTTTAGAAGCTGAACCCTGCATTATCAATCCTTGGCATGCAGGAGCCAAAAAATCAAGACTCCTGTAACAAAGCGTACTGCAGTAGTCAGTGCTATCCCCGAGTTGTAGCATGACTACTGTAGATTCGAGCGGATACTAAGTACTAGTCCCCAAGGCTTGTGCGTGTTGTACCCAAAGGCTCCTTAGTAGTTCCTTTTTGTGGTTAATTTATATTTAGGATCCTTTGAAGTAATCCCAAAAAGGAACTACTAAGGAGCCTATGGGTAGTTCCAATACTTGGGAATTCTGAAAGCAATCCAAGGAAGCGTTAGGCTCCTATAATTTAACGTATATTCCTTAATTAAATGGTATTGGGTTCTCTGGACAGGTTCGCCTTCCAGTGTAGCGGTCCTCGACACGCACGAGTCAGTGCGAGGGGAGGCGGAGGCTGACATAGCCAGCACCCCAGCTTTCCGGCTTCGGGGTTTTTAAGGGGTTAGGAGTTTAGGGACTTAGGAGTTAGGGTTTAGGATTTCGGGTTTAGGGACTTAGGGTTTAGGGTTTAGGATTGTTTTAAGGTTTTCGGCTCTGAGGTGACCAGTCCGAGAGGGTCTAGGGAATAGGCTCCTAAGTATAGTTCCGATTTGGTGGTTTTATGTTTAGGATCCTACAAGGTAAGTCCAAAAAGGAACTACGAAGGAGCCTATGGGTAGGGAATACAGGCTTCCCATGAGCGGTTGTCTGAGTTGTGGCTCTAAGCGCCCTCTACTGGACATTTCAGGCTTGGGCATCAGAGTTCAGGGTTGTGCACTTTGCCGCCGTCTCACCTCACAGAAATCTCAGGGGGTAGATGTGGAATTCGAGTTTCTGCTGATCATGAAAGTAGCGCAAGGCACCTGGTCTGAAAAGGCCAGACCTTGTGCTGAAGGGGGGATGGCAAGTCATCCCTAAACCCTACACCCTAAACCCTGAACCCTAAACCCTAAAGGGGTGATCGCAAGTCATCCCTAAACCCTAAACCCGAAAAAAACCCTAAACCCGACCCCAAGGTCTACACATTCATCGTGGTAGTCCTGATGGTTGTCTTCGCCCTGGCCTTCATGCACGCGCTCAACAAGGTCCCCGGTTTCTGGCCTTTAGCCGAAAGAGCTGGTGTGAGCAGGGGAGGATGCATGAGCAGACAGTAGAATTGAGCAAAAAGGGCGGCTTCGAAGAATCAAGCGACAGCAGCTGATGTGGGAGCTTCCGAAAACCAGGGTACCTTATTTTGGGGCCTTTATAGTAAGGATCCTGCTATTTGGGGTGCTATATGAGGGTTCCCTATTTTCAGAAACCCCCATTATGATCCCCTTTAGTTGACCTTTGTCGAAAGCATCTTTAAACCCCTAAACCAGTAAACCCTAAAACCCTAAACCCCTCGGCCATTTTGGCTCAAGTTTTTCGGAATCTCTGCTGTCTTACGCAGAACTCAGGTTTTCGGATCTGTCACCAAGCAAATCTTGCTATGACAGGCTTCGACATGGCCGCAAAGGAGGACGCGCCCCGCTTTTCCCAGTGGCGCCGCGTGACGGCTTTGGCCGGAGTCGCCCTGGGCACCTGCTTGCTTGCGCCATTGGCTGTCTCCTGCGACGCCCGGTCCAGTCTGACAGGAGAGCTGTGTGAGCCCGCGCAGAATTCTGGCAATCTGCGCGGCCGCCGCCTCTCTGCGCATCACATCGTGCACCATGTCTACGGCGCCGGGCAGCATGTGATGCAGCATGCCTACGGTGCTGGAAGCTCTGTGGCTCACCACGTCTACGGTGCCGGAAGCAGCATGATGAACCACGTCTACGGTGCTGGAAGCCATGTGGTGCACCATGTCTACCATAGTGGGTCCGGGCCAACCTACCAGACCTCCCAACTCCAAGGACACTCTCTTGTGCAGGGTGCACCCGCGCATGTCGTCTCCAAGGTGTATGGGCCTGAAGATTCGAAGGAAATCCACATCGTCTCCGGACACCACGGCTACCACATCGTCGGTGGAGGTAGAATCAACGATTTCGGATCAGATCCGTTCGGCAACCGCTACAACAACCGTTACACCCACACCATTGTCCACCACCACTATGGCGGCCATCCCGGCGAGACCTACTACGTTCACCCCGGCAGTCATCATTTCATGGATCACTTCGCTGACGGAGCGCACGTCGACTGCACCGACACAGGGAATTGGTATTACGAGTGGGACGCCCACAAGAAGCATCTTTGTTGCTCCGCTGTCCACGTGGGCTGCCCTGGCACTTGGCGGGGTCCAGAGGACCATTGGATGGACTCCGACACAGTGGATGGGGGCTTCTTGAACGGAAAGCGCCCAGCCGATGTGGACTCGGGGATCGTTGACGATGGCTTCTTGAACGGAAAGCGCCCAGCCGATGTGGACTACTGGATGGACTCTGACACAGTGGATGGGGGCTTCTTGAACGGAAAGCGCCCAGCCGATGTGGACTCGGGGAT